AGTGGCGACTTAGCAATACAACTTTAGTACGCAGAGTAGCTGGGGAGCACTATGTCCAACTTCGGTTGTTGCCTTCCTCGCCATGCTGCCTTGTCTCACAAAAAAGGGGTCGGCGGCACCAGGGCGGAGCCCTTACAATATGCTCGAATGATTGCCAAAGCCGTCTGCCTCAGATCTGACTCAGATGGTGGTGGGCATGCCAACAACAGACCACGACTCAACTTGCTCCGATCCAGTTCCCAATTGCTGATGGCAATCACGGATACTGCATCTTGAGCCCGTCGTGGCTCCAACCGTGCATGCAGCACCTTGAGCGGATTGTGAGGGCTCTGTTCTGCTAATCCAACTTCATCCAGCAAAACCAAGGCCAAAGGCCGCGTTCTTCGATTCAGAGTCCGGAGTTTCTTCTGTCTAGCAAGTGCCCTTTCAAAGACCTGGAGCAAGGCACTCGAGGTTGACTGGCGACTCCCCTGGTATGGCTGGACACTCAAGCTTGCCAAGTGCAGCAACTGCTCTTTGTAGGGGTCGGCCAAGGCACTAATCAGAAGAGACACTGTCAGGGACTTCGAGCAACCAGGCTTTCCAAGGATGAAAATGGGTGTGCGGGTCATGGAGCAAATCAGCGCAGCATAAATGTTTTCTCTCAGCGCCCGAACTTTGGCAATGTTGTCTGCCACATCGAATGCATTTAGCCAGTAGTCCTGCTCATCCAGCACTATGTCGCGCCAGGTCTTGATGCACTCGAGTTCATTCTTGCAAGCATGTGGGAAGGAAGTCTTCAAGAGATCGCCGATGTTGGATTGATGGAGGAGAGCTGCCAGCAGCTCATTCCGCTTCTCAAGATCTGGAAGCCTCACTTCATATGCCAAATGAAGCGCCAGAACCAAGGAAATAACTTCTCGTCGGGAAGCATCTGAGGGTGAGTGGCCTTTCGCCATCTCCAGCTTCTCTCTCTGCTCCAATTCCCAGCGAATGAACCCCCAGAGCTTCAAGAGACGATTTGGATCCCGCAACGAGACACAAGAGCCCAGAGCCCGGAAGAAGTCATGGATGATGCACACGTATTGAGCCACATGATCGCACATGGATTTGGTCAATGGAGGCGGTCGAAGCCACTGGTCATCAGGGTTTAGGAGTTGCGGAGCTTGAGATGCCATCTCTTTGACGTACTGCTTTTCAGTTTCGGAGTCAAGTTGCCCAAACGAGGACAGGTGCGTGAACAGGCTTTCGGGAAGCGGATGCACTCGATACGCAAGACCGGCCAAGCGATCCTCTTGGGAGACTGGGCTTTCAAATCCAACACACACCACGCTACCTTGGCTTGCACGGCGCCAAGGATTGCAAGCGGCGACGAAACACAAGCCCCTGTGAATGGGTTTGCTAGTGCTTGGGTTGATGCGGTCAATGAGAATCTGCTTGAAGAGCGCCTGGTGCGGACAGGTATTCAGCTCATCCCAGAACTGCACTACCATATGCTCCGTGCCACCATCCTTCCTTCCATCTGCTTTTTGTCGAGCAAGTTCTTCCCCTTTGTTGAGAGCCTCCAAAATCTCAGCTTCGGTCGTACCTGCATGCACTTGCTGCTCCTCAAGTTGGCCTGCACCGAGCAACCGTGCAGTAAGACGCAGTAACACCTGGCCCAAGAGAGCACAAGTTGCATTCTGTCTTCTTGAGGAAAAAAAGAACCCGGTTCCGGTTCCCTGGTGGTTCTGTTTTGAAACCCGAGTCTCTTCTCTCGATATAGAAACCATTAGAAACCTGTAGAAAAGCTAATTGCAAAATGATGTTGCAGTCTGGGAACTGTCTTTCCGCACCCAGCTTCGCCCATGAGTATGCAAGGCAATTGAGCTCGCAAGCGCTCAGCCACATCAACGAGCTTGATCATATTGTCCCTCGTGAGGACAAAACCACGGAAAGCATCCCTCAGTTCCTGAGTAGGGAAACCTCAAACCCCCAGTAGTGGACCAATCTCCGACTATATTACCATCATGGTCCACAAGTTTCAGTTCCTGGTGAACTCGTTGAGACAGAAAGGAAAGAAAAAAAAGAAAATTGTATTGCGCAGCAAATCTAGCCTCCTCTGAAGTCATTCCGTGGCCTGTCATCATGTCTAGCAGCAACGCTTGCAATTTATCTTGGGTTGCACTGCCCAAGTCACTTGGCGGCTGCACAATTGTCTCAGGCTCTCTTCCACGTGCTAGGTCCCTGCGCACCAAGTCCCATAGTCGTAGCAAGGCACTGGGTACATCATGTCCGTTCCCAATGAACCGCAAGGAACCTCCAGTGTTGAAGGCCCACACACTTGAGGCAACAACATGTCGGAAGCACTCGACAGGCCATCGCCTCAGACAAAGAGGAAGTCATTCCATCCTCGCCAGCCACTATCTTCTCCCTCTCTCCCTGTTGAGCCTCGGCTGCTGAGGAGCGCAAACACATGGCAGCCGCCATAGAAATCATCTCTTTCAAAACCGGCACGAATGCGGCACGAATGTCAACTCCTCGCTGACCCTCGAAGGTCTTCTCGAAAAGGAAAGCCTGTTGAGCCCAATTCCTGGTCTAGTGTGCCAAGAAAGTCAAAAAGGACATGATGGTAGCTTTGGATGGTACTGGAGGATCTCTTCTTGCATCACCAGCCGCACCATGGAGCCAGGCCGCCCGCAGTGCCAGACAGGCTGCTTCAGCCACTCTACCACAGAGCCCCTGCACTAAGTTTGCATGATCTCCCGCAACCACCAGGCCTGCAAAGCATGGGCTTGCGCCAGTAGTCAGCAGTCAATATTAGCGGAAGGTTGTGAAGCATTCTTGGGGCGATATGTGCGAGGCTGCAGCTTGTCCAGTAAGTTGAACACTTTCTGAGAACGTAAGAGCTTACTTTGGGGGTTATTTTGCGCATCTTTGTGGTTGTTTTGCCCACGCTTGATGCATGTTGTCATTGTTAAGGCTCTTGGAGTCATGAGCTTTGAGGTGCACTCCTACGGGGAGCCGCACACCTGAAGACACTCCCAAAACATCCTGCGCGTCAGGATGTCTACTCAGTTGTTTCACACCGGATTGAACAACACACCACACGCGCAAATGTATGTCCACCTCATCCATTCCATCAACAGCGGTATGACACATGTGCCCTGTCCATTTCAAGGAACGGACTCGTTCTGCTACTATGCAGCTGCTCAACCGAATGCATGTACAGGAAAATGAACTCGCCAATGTTTGGTGCTGAGACGCCGTGTTCTTGCTCGACCTGCGCGGCTAGCTACAGCTAGGACCTAGGAGTCAGACTGGCTTCGGGTGGTTGAAAGCAGTTCTGTGGCTGTGGCCCTGTTCAACATGATTGCACTGGGAGGTACATACTCTGGGGGGCTGGCATGGTTAATTGGGGGCCTTGCACCAGGAGGGCCTTGCACCAGGAACTGACAGGAACTGAACTAAGGCGTTCTTTTTGTCAAGGAAATAGATATATATATATATACATACATGTATACAGTATGTTGTGCATATGCAAATGTATGTGTATGGTATATGCACATGTATAATCATATATATATACTTATAATTAATTATATATCCTCGAACCTTCTCTCTTGCATTCACCTCTCAGTGAGTAGGAACCAGTCACCGTAGTAGTAGAGAAATGGGGACGGTATGAATCAGCTTTGCTGAGAAAAGCAAGCTAAGCTGGTGCTTGCACAGCATTGGGTCATGAACTGGAAGTTGGGAAGTTAAACGTGCATCTGTTTGGCTTTTGACGACTACGGTTCCGACCCTGAGCTCGATCTGAACCATGCGAGATTTCATCAGCGGTTGGCTCGACAAAAGGATCAATCCTTGAGCTGGACCACGCAGTAACTCCAAAATTTCCAGAAAAAATACCCTGCACTAACCGGTGTGGCTTGCGCAAACATCGATATGGTCATAGTCTTAGGTGTTCTCGTTTATACAGGTGCACCTGAAAACTGCCACATGTGCATTGAATGTAGGCGTACATGTGGGTGTGTGTGTGTGTGTGCATGGCTGTCGCCATGAAAAGCATTGACATGATGAGAGTCACACTCCAACGTGCAATGCAGCAGAATGAGCTTTGGCTGTGGGATGCAATGCTCTGCAATGTAAGGAGGCCCCTTCTTTTGTCAGGCCATTTCCTCGACACGGAAGGAGAAAAATGCCCACCTTGTCCTTGCGCATCTGCCATTAGCTTGAAGGCGACGCCATGCTCCCCTTCACACCCAACCAGATTTTGCGTCTCTTCACCCAGAAGTAAGGCTGCACCAGCCAAAGCGAAGTCCCGTGCGCTGGAAGCAGCCCTCTCCGGGAAAAGATCCTCGCCACTGAAAAGAAATGGAGAGTCTGCATGGATCAATCTTTGTCCTGGCACACCTTTCAGAATCGGCGCTGAGAGCATCATGAGCTGAACTGGGCCGGTTCCTTGCCTGATCTTGATTGAGTTTGCTACTTCCACGAAGAGTGGCGTGTCAGCAGCGAAGCGTGTCCACTCAGACCTCTCGGGATCAAAGACACAGCGAAAAAGAAGAAGCTCCATCAGCAGCATGTCAGCATCTACCCCACCACCTTCTTCAAATCCGTGCAACTCTAAATGGACGCAGCCAGCACCCTCGGCCTTCCTCAAGGCTCTTGCTGCTTGCCCACGTGTCTGGGCACCACCCCAAACAATTGTGACATGAGAGTCTGGGTCCCACTTCTCAGATCTACGAATGGCATGCGTCTTGCCATCTCCGGCATACTTGGAACTCACAATGCTGTGACATCCCAAAGCAGCTGCCCCAGCCTCTTTCAAAAAAGCTTTGATGCTGGAAAGCTTCAAGATATTGATCTGCTGCTGCTTGCACAAGTCCTTCTCCAAGGTTTCGATCAGTGTCTTGGAAGCACGCATGGTCAGTGTGAAAGCCAGGCGCACTTCAAATTCAGCAACGCTGTCGGCTTCTGTGCGCCTTGCACCAACCGCTGCTTGCATGGCATCCACCCTGCACAGGAGCTCCTGCAGCACATCCGGCTGTAAGCAATCCACATGAACGCAAACGCCGAGAACCTGGGATTGGCGAGAGGTGTCCATAGCAAGGCGGGTAGCATGAGTAACTCGGTGCAGAAACCTCAAAACATCATCCTTGGTGGTGCTGGAGTCACACAGCAAGAGATTTTCGGCACTGGGTCCGATCCCAAGAGGCAAGAGCAAGGAAAGCACTGTGGTTGTGGCCATGCTTTGCAAGGCCGAATTGCCAGGTTCATGCGACAACTCCTCCTGAATCAATAGAACACGTTTCGGGTAGAACTTCGGATTCTGCCTGCGGTCTATTCTACTTCTTGCAGTTGCATCGTCAGAAGCTCTCTGCTTTGGGTAACACCGAGCAATCTGATGCAAAGGCGAGAATGTGGTCAAGGCATGTGGGGGAATCACCTGCTTTGACACTTCGGCAAGCTTTTCCAGGAACTTCTCCTGAACACCTTCTCCGGGAGAAAAACACTTGCACTGTTCCAACCACTCGTTTAACTGTTGATCGCTCTCGAACTTGCCCTCCACCTGACATTGAAAGGACATCAGCGAAGCGACTGCAGAAGGCGTGCTATTCAACACTGCACGGGCAAGTTTGACAATGTTCCTGGCAGGGATGGTGCTCATGATTGCATGTCTGGCACGGGCTTGATCCAGGGCATTGCACCATTGCTGCATTGCACCTTGTGCCCATCTCAAGGTGTCCTTGACTTCTTGCAATGTTGAAGCTGACAAGCCCTCTCCCTGACGTGGAAATCGCAATTCTCCTGCGTCTTCCAAGTAAGGGTGTCCAATCAGAAGAAGCTCTGTCAGCTCCTGCCGCAAGCCAAGAATTCCCTCAATGCATCCAGTGAAAATTTGCACTTTCTCTTGAGTCAAGGCTGTAGGATTGTCGGCATCCAAGGCAACTTTGGGTACAGCGAGGCTGGCTTTGTCGGAGCACTCGGTGAGTTGCTGAACATCTCGTGTGATCATCGCCTGGTCCTTGCTGAATTTGAACACACCTAGAACTTCGAAGTGCGTTGCATCAGTGCTGGGAGCCAGCTCCAAGTACCCTCCACTCACCATTCCATGAACTGTATTGCTGACGGCTGTGGCATCATCAGAATTCTCCTCCAGCTTTTGCTTTAGTACCCCTCCCTGCCGCAGTGCTGACCTCAAGCCCTCCAAGAACTCACTCAGCTTGCTTCCGTGGATCTTGTATGTCTCACGGAGCATTTTCAGCATCAAATCTCCTATCTGGGCCTGAGAGCTTGCGCGCAGAGCCTCCGTCTGGATCAGTTCTGACCACTCACCCTCCACCATGACCCGAAACTTGTTAGCATCAATTGGAGAGCGCATGGCCCAAAGGACTGCGACACAAAGAGGCATAAAGACGGCTGAAGCTTGCTCCACATGTGCCAATGTCTCCTGTGTCAATGCGCCTTCCACAAGCTCCGCCAGCCTCATTGCCAAATGCTCACCTTTCTGAGCGCTGCTGAGCAAAACTCTCAAAAACGAGAGGCCTGGACCTTCAGCCATGGTGGTCACAAGCCGCAGCACCTGTTCAAAGCCAGAGTCTCCATCTCCACCGCCCAGGAACTCAAAGAACTCTCGCAAGCATTGTGTAGCGCTGTCCAGTTGGTCCAAAGTCTTGGTGGTCAGCTTACTTTCGTTTTTCTGCTCTTTGGCTGCATTGAAGGCTTCATGCATCGCTTGCAGGGAAGCAACGAGATCACATGTTTCCTCTGAGAATCCTCCCTGGATTGCCCTGTTTGGCAAGGTGCTCGATAAGTGGCTCAGAATCATTGTGCAAAGGTTCCAAAATTCCACTGTTTTTCTGCCTCTGAGTACTGCTTGTACTCGGCCACCAACTTCATTCAAGTCCCCAAAACTCAAAGAGCTCACTGACTGAATCTCTCCCAAAAGTGTCGACACCATTGTTGGAGCAACGGGAGCCCAATGTCGTTCAATCAAACTCAATGCCTGTGATGATAGCCTGGCTTCTTCACCTCCAACTTCTGAAAGACCCTTCAAAACCCGCTCAATGCCCTGGTACAAAACAAAGACCTTCTCCAACAAGTTGAAGCCGCTTCCTTTGTTGTTCAAAGCATTCATTTCTTGCTCCACTGCCTGGAGCATTGAATGCAATGGTCTGTTACTCCCTGAACGGGCCAAACGAAGAGTCTTGATGGCAGTCAGCACCAAGGAGAAGCTGGGCAGTGGTACATCAACGTGAGATACCTGGAGTTTCGAAGGCAATTCCACAGGCAGTGTCCATAACTCTTCTTTGATCTCAGCCAAGGGTACACGGAGCTGCGAGACCTCTGGCAAGGGTTCAAGTTTCTTAGTATTGGTAGCTGCCTTGAGAAACGATTTGTAGAGGCCCTCTGCCAAAATACTGGCTGCGGCTTGCCCCGGAAACACCTGTGAAAGTCGTTGAACACTGATTTCGAACTCCTGCATGAACCGGACTCTCTTGATCATGTCTTGCAGCTGATGTGTGACTGGCCCATGCTCAAGCAACTCAAAGAAAGCAGAGTTCTGCCAGGCATTCAAGGGAGCAGTTCGCAACATCTCTTGCACTGTCAACTCCCCGGCCACGATCTTCTCAGCCAGAGAACTCAAGGAGTGTTGCAAGGGCAGCAGGATTCCTGGCGTCAACGACTGTGCTCGAGTGCCTCCAATTGACCTAGCTGTTTGCCAAAAGTCCGGATGCCACACTAGCATGCTCCATTCCACAATTCCCGCAGAATCCTTGACTTGAGATCCGCCTCCCCAGGCGTGCTCAAGGCGATCAAACTCTGGGCAACTGCCTGAAGCTTTACCCTGGCCAATGATAGACCTGTCCGAAAAGCACCGCAATGCAAAGCGCAGAATCACTTCCACATACCAGCCATGATCATGCGCATCTGCGAGCTGGAGCCAATGCTGCCATTGCTCTCCCCTTCGCAACCGGTTGCTGACTTCCAGTGATTCCAGTGCCTGGTCCAATGAGCGCCTCATTTGCAAAATGCAGAAAGCATGGCATGCTTCTTCACTGAACGCATCTTGGTCGGAAGTTCGAAGGATAGCCTCAACGACCTCGTTCGGGTACAGTGAATGAAGCAGCGTGCTTCTCCAAAGTCGGTCAAAGACCACCTTTTGCAGGCCAGGAGCAGCACGCAAGCTGAACAAAATTTGTAGAGCCTGCTTTATGAGAGTTGGAGCTCCCCTGGACCGCTCAGCTAGGCACGTGGCAAACTGCGCCACGGACGAAACCCAGCGCTCATCGCTTGCCTCAACAGACTTCTGAGTTGAGAGCACATTCACACTTGGAGCAACCACACAAGCATAGTCCTCGCTGCTTTTTTGGGCTCATGCCTATATGTGGCAATATTTATGTATGTGATACAAACCGTGCTTCAGAAAACGCCTCGGCAGATTTTTTCCCTTCCACGCAGCTTGCTCTCAACTTATGCGGTCACGACGTGAACTGACGCAAGACAATGGGAACTTGAGACCCTTGTTCGCACGAATGCCCACTTCCACTCTCCCAACGCCGGAAACTTACACACCATCAAACTGGCACATTCCGATGGTTCTGATGTGACTTACACAGAACTTACGCAAAAGACTCTTGCTTTCCATAGACACGATGGTTCTTCTACAGCTTGCCGCTTTCGATATGGTGGGCTCCTTCCTGTGAGCTCAGCTAGAATGCATGTTGTTTGGTTTTGCTGCCGCCTGCCATAACAGGACACGCAAGGCACAGAGTTTGCCTATGACGATCTCTTTGCCCAACGGAAATCTTGTTGGAAGACAATACAGTACTGAACCAGTCGAGATTCGATCTGTCAAGCTTGGGATATGGAATTCAAATGTTCAAGATGGTTCATGTAAGACAACAGCATCAGACATGAAAACTTGCACAAAATCGGTATGTGCATTTATGGGTCGGGTGGCCTTCCCTTGAAGTCAGAGAGGTAAGTTGAAGACTTCAATGATTTTTAAGTGTGTACTGTGGCCCTCCTTTGCACAGTGCATACGATGGACTTATGGGATTGTGCTGAAACGCATTGTGCATATTTTGCTTCTGGGTGTTGTTTCAGCTCAGCTTTAAGGCTTCAATTCTGTTGTTGTTCAGCTTCCTGGCTTAATGTTGTACATGTTCAGCTTCTGGTCTTATTGGTTGCCATGTCCAACTTGTGAGCTTCACGTCTGCTCATGCATGTGGAGGCTCAGAGACAGGACTAAAATAATATATATTATTGTTTGTGGATGCGGACCTGATTTTCCTACATTGCTGCGACTATATAACAGTGATGGCTGATGACAGTCTGCTGCTAACTGAGGCAAGTGCATGTTGGTCATAGCTGATGGCTGCAGCCAAGCGTAGCCACTCAAGCTCACAACTGTCTTCAAACTCTACAAAGTGAGCTCTTTCAGGTTCAGCCGTCAGCGCCTTGGCGAGCATCACCATGCTCACGCTGATCGTTCCAAGCTTTGGAATGCGATGGCGCATTCCCGCGCTGCGCGTCCAAGCTTCTGCCATGATTGCGGTGAGCTTTCCTTGCAGCTCTATGTCAACACGCCCTACCCCAAGTTTGTCAAGAAAGCATTGAAGTTGAGACACTATGGCCTCCCAATTCCTACATCCCCGCTCAGGGTGACCTAAAGACTCGTCCAAAGCAACTAGTGCGCAAACTGACCCAAAGAGCTCCGCATAGGGACATTGCTGCAGAAATCGCATGGCACCAAACCATACCTGTTGACAATACCCAGGTCGTAGAGCCACACGCAGAGCCACCTCCACTCTTGCAATTGGGACACCCTGCAGCTGAATGGTTCCCCACTCAGGGAAAATACAACCTTCAACCCGTTCGGCAAACACTGTCAGGGCATTTGACTCTTCCGCGGGGACCTTGGCATGTAGAATCAATTGGATTGTTGCTTGCAGCCATTGCTGAGACAGCCTGGGGCTCACTTGCCCTTCTTCCCGCACTGCTGCCAGAAAAACTGCAAGAACGTCGTTTGCAAGGCTTGGATGTGAAATGACTTCAGCTGGCCAAGCGGCAATAGCCGACAGAAGCTCATCCTTCAGAACCTTCTGCAGCTGTTGAAGGCTTCCAGTGGCTCTGTGGTGCAGGACAGCTATCCAGAAATAGAGTCCACTGCATGGCTTGGGGCATACTGACAGGCACAAAAGTTCGGACAACGCGCGACGAACTGTTCCCTCTGCATGGGGATTCTGATAGCTTCGTTCAGAACGCACTTGCAGCAAACTTTGCTCTACCTCCATGACTTTTCTCACTGCAAGGTCGAAGTCTTGGAGGGCATTTGGCCAAACTGCGACTCTGAGGAAATCAAGCACATCATCTTCGGTGGCTTCTGGATGGCCATAGGACATGAATATCCTTGCGTCAGGAGCAACATCATGATGAATATTGGATGTGCGGTTGGAATCCGTACCCTCACACTCCCACTCCATGGCGTTGTAGATGTAGCCTTTGTCAAAGCGTCGAAATTTGAAGTTTGCCATGCCCAAGTCCATCACTGGGACATCTATGTAGTAGAGCTGCTTCTGCCTCAAATGTCGTGCAAGGGCTGGATGAAGTGGCGCAGGCGCAAGAGGAATAGCACTCTGCCAGTTGTTTGTGAAGGTCCCTGTCAGAAAATATTCACCCTGGCGAGCAAGCAAGCAGAAGCGAACGGTTCGTTCATGTACAGGGCATGGCTGTTCCAATTGCAGCGCTCGGGACAAGACCTGCGTTCCATCCGGGAGGCAAATTGGCAAATAGAACTTGCCAACCTGAACCCGCTGTTGTTCTTCAAGCTCCGTCCCAAAAACAACAGCACCCCAGGGCAGAACCGGTTTTCGTTGTGCAATTCTCCCATTGTTCTGCCGGTACCTCACACCCGGGATGGCTTCTTTGAGTTTGAGGTGGTCAGTCCTGACCTCCCACCTCTCGAGCAAAACTGGCACATCATCGCAGCGAATTGGAAGAAACCCCGCTTGTATTCGGACAAAGCATCCACTGGAATCGACGGGTCCGATGACCTCAGAAAGGAACGTTGCTCCCAGGCATACACAAATCAAGTGATACCCGATACCCCACCAGAAATGAGTGGAAGCTGGGCCCTGGGCAGTATCACCTGCGTAATGACCTATAGGCTCCATTGTGAAGGAAGCCGTGCGGAAGATTGGCAAGGTCGGATAGGCTTTCTTCAACTTCTCGGGGATTGCCACCTCATGGTGACTCCATAGGCCCGGCTTGAGTTCGAGCCCGGCTTTTGATGAATTGAACTTGTTGGGGATATGATAAATTCTCACACAACTCTCAGGCTGCTCTGAATGCACACGGCTATTCAACAAAAGGCAGGAGAGGCGCTTTGAAATGGCGCCACTGCAACTCTGTCTCCATCTTTTAGGATCCTGGCTCCATTTCCGACCATCAGTCATGAACCAAACTTCTGCAAAGCTGCGACAAGAGCGTTGTCTTATGAAAGAGGAAAAGACACCTGGACAAATTGATTGATGAAAATGAGGAGAAGTTCGCCCATGCTTTATATACGTACATAAATATTAAATCTATAATACAATACATCTAGTCCGTACATTACATACATATATATATATATAAATATTGTGTCCTCAGCCTGCACTCCAGCCCAGCCTTTTCAGCGATATGCAGTAGTCCCAGCTGGATCGAAGGCAATCTTAAACAAAAGGTGGCATGCATTCAGGAAGCTTCCATGTGAAAAAACGGAATGGCACATTGCACACGATTGCGTTGCTGGCTGCAACACTTGCTTTGTGAACCCATCACCTGCCCAGGGCGGGCAAAAATGAAGGGTAGGGGAGCAAAAAACCTGCGAGCATGGTGATGGAAAGGGGCTTCCAAGCATCTATCAGACCAAGCACCGCAAAGCATCTTATTGTGTCCTCAGCCTGCACTCCAGCCCAGCCTTTTCAGCGATATGCAGTAGTCCCAGCTGGATCGAAGGCAATCTTAAACAAAAGGTGGCATGCATTCAGGAAGCTTCCATGTGAAGAAACGGAATGGCACATTGCACACGATTGCGTTGCTGGCTGCAACACTTGCTTTGTGAACCCATCACCTGCCCATAGCCCATAAGGAAGGACTGGGCGAAGCCCTTAAGTACTAGCCAAAAAACTTTCGAAGGTGGGAGAGCACAAGCTGTCGTGATTGATCTGCTTTCTTCCAAACACTTCGCGGGACAGAAGATTGTCGAAGCAGCATCAATCCAGGTTTGCGATACCGATTGACAGACTGCACTGCTTTCCACCTACCACGCACTTGGATTTCCTTGAGAGACCTTTCTTGGTGAAAGGCATCATGCGAAGCACCACTGTGTCTTAACATGTGGGGACACAGATTCAAGTGACCCAAAGAAACGGCAGAGGCAGCTTGTTTGATTTGTTTCTCATACTGTTCAAGAGATAATGTACCAAACAACATACCGTCAGCAGAACAGGCATTCTTAACCAGAAGGCTCGCAACCTGATTGACATCAGGTCGTGCTGTTGTGTCAAGAAAAACGCATTCGTCAAACTCACCGTTCTTCGCAGGGACTCCATCATCTGAAAGGCCTACCATGACCCCCCAACATTTCTGACGACGACAAGGCTTCAACATATGTCGCACTGTTAGCTCCAGCAGTTCAGATGGACGAAGGTAGGTATCACCCTGCAAAATGATTGCTGCTGCAGTGAAAAAGTTTCCAACTTCACAAGCTGACAGTGCCACAAGATGCCAAAGCACGAGATCAACTCCTGTGCGTGATTTACCTGGAAATCTGGCTTTCCAACCCTTCAAGGCTTGACGAGAGATGGGAAACTTCTCTCTGTCATGCATGTGCCAAGAAGACGGGCTACGAAGCATGATATATCCAAAAACTGCATACGATGCCTCAGTCAGAGAAACCCCTTCCCAGCAAAGCTCGTGGATATACCTGGACATCGCTTCATCTGTGCGAAGGTGACTGCCAAGAGACTTATTGTT